ATACAGGGAATGAAAAGCTGCATGACTCAGTGGTCATGGTTACCCAGGAGAGTGACAACAGCTTTCTAGTCAAGGTTGGCTTCCTGAAGATCCTGCACAGGTATGAGATCACCTTCACTCTGCCTCCAGTGCGCAGGCTGAGCAAAGACATCCGTGAGGCCCCAGTCCACAGCCTGCACCTCAAGCTTCTCAGTCCTCATTTTGTCCATACAGATTAACTTTCAGAACAAACTGTCAATTATAGCTCCCTCACAGTCCCCCAACCTAATGATATATATATTTGTGTGTGTGTGTATATATATATGTATATACATATATCTTGTAATACATTCATTACACAGATGATATTATAGTTATATCAAACTATGAAACTTATGATTCTATATATTGGCAGATAGCTCTACAGAACATACCAGTACCTTTTCTTATGTCTGTCCAACAATTACAAATTCTCTCCCTATGGACGCTCACCACAAGGCTTACATCCTTATGATTTCTGGTTATGAAATAAAAAATAATACACCATTTATTTTACAGCTTTTCAATTTTAAGAATGCCTAGAGCTCATATATAGACAACGGCCTTACATACACTTCCAGAGCTCTTAAGAATCGGTGGTTGATTTTTCATATCTCCCACTACAGGCATTCCTTATTCCCCCCAGACCAAAACACAAAGTTACACCTAAGCCTCTGTGATCTTCTCACTGGTATTTGAAAAGGTCCTGATGTTTTCATACTGTCAGGAGGAGGATATGCCTACATGTCTTCACAGGACATTGACCTGCCTTTATGAATCCTGAATTGCCTGGTCACACCATATACTAGGCCACTGCAGGACAAAGGTGCTCTAAAGCTGTCAGTCTGAATACTGGCTATTATTTACCTCTAGATTCTTAAATATTGAGTGCTGAATATAAATTGATACAATTCCAGGTCCTTTTGATGAACTGTTCATCAATGATATAAAAATTATATGATTAGAAGTAATAATTCTGTTCTAAATACATTTTATTAATTTTTATCAAAAAAGGTAAATGAGACTTGAGATATATAAATGACACATTTCAGATTTCATTCTCTGGCTATCTTGATGTTTTTTTGATGCTCCAAGGATTCGTAATTTTGCTCTGACAAAATTAAGCACTGTTATATTGCTAACATGTCTAAGATTTTATCCATTAAGAAGGCTCTCACAAGCTTCAGAGATCAAAATTTGCCAACGCTCACAAGCCAAGAAGGATTGGGAGGAATGCAACTTAACTACAGTTCTAATCTCCCGCTTACAAAATTTCTTTTTCTTCTCTGGGTGGTGGGGAGCCTTCCCTCTCCCTGGCCTGGTATCCCCTTCTCTCATCTGCTAACCATGCATTTAATATTCCATAGGTACGCCTAAGAGAAAAAGTTTCCTCTTTAAAACTCCTCAGCTGCATTTTCTACCATTAATACATATATTTACTTCCAGCTGCAATTCTAACCATTTAAAGAGTTACACGTTGTCATCCTCTGGACCACGGACATGCTGTCTAGCTGCAGGTCTGCACCCCACACTCCAGCCCACAACGATGTGCTGTCCAGCCCAGCCCTGCATCACGATGCCCTCCAGCCCACAAGACAGAAAATTCTGCTGCTACACTTCATGGCTCACAGAGCCTGAAACAGCCTGCACTTCTTGGGTTTTTACTGCACCCCAGGCCTCAAGACCCCCAGCTTCACCCCCATATCCGCAGGAAGTAACCATGAGAGATTTCTACAGCCCCCTTTGTCACATACCCCTTTTTCTGAACTGAACTCTCCAGCCCAGGGGCTGGACTGCCCTTAAAAAATGCTCTATTATTAATTGTATAAGTTCTGCCCATGATCCTGAATTGTATGTATGTAAGTCTTGATATGTATACCCTGACACAGGTTATTACTGTTCTCTCATAGCTAATAGTTTAATATTGCATTGATTACAAATTTAAATTAGGAAAGCTTCAGCTGCAGCCTTGGTCCCACAGATGTTCAGGACTAGGACTAGCTCAGGTAACTCCTTAACTATGCCTCCTTAAAATACAGGTTAACCAAATTAATACCACTAACCAAAGATTAATAGAGTTAGTGTTCCAAACTAACCATTTCTTTTGATAAGTCACAATCATAGTATTCATAGATTTTTGTTACTCCTCTGCTCCCTTTTTGAGAATGAGAGATATTCTACCTATATACAGCTATAACAATTAGATGGGTAAACTAATCCTCAGCCTGCCATGTATATAGAGTATTGATTATAAATATATATTATAGTTATAACATTGATTAAATATCAATGTTAATTAATCATTATTTATCATTTTTCAGAATCTCCAAACTTAAGTTTATCTACATATTCGCTGTCCTAGAAAAAAAAATTTGAACTAAACGGAAAAATGGGAAGTGCTGCGGGCCGCAGGAATATCATAAGAACTCAGCTGGTTATGGCAAAGTCTCTACCTGGAGGAATCAGGGAATTCCTCCAGAGGAAGCCAAATCCCAAGGAGTTTTTGGTGTTACTTGACTTGTTATATATCAGCTGTTTTCTGTTATGAAAATCATGTGTGCCTTCATAGTTTTTCCAATTGACTTTCCCCTAAGAAGGACTAACAGAAGGCTTTCTCTGGAATCAGATTATCTCCCTTAGCCACTTTCAAGGACTACAGGAAACACCACCCAGGTGGTTGCCCATTGTTAGTCCCAGGTGGATTAACAATGATAAGAGCCCACATACAAGTCTCTTGACTTATGGTAAATTTCACAAGGAGACATCACCTAGGAGAGGTGGACGTTAAGTAATAGTTTTACACAATTTAGCTAGGAGCCTCCCTTTATATACTGGGACTTCCAGGGCACAGGGGAGAAGAGAAAAGAGAATGGAAGAACTAGATGGGAAAGAACTTGAGAGGAACAAACTGAGATGGGGAAGGACTTGATTGAAGGGCTAGAAGAAAGGACAAAAGGAACGAGATGGAAGATGTGCAAGAGCCATATGGGGAAGAACAAGATGAGGAAGAGCCAGATGAGACAGGAGACGGGAGAGGAGGTGATAGGGGAAAGAACTAGATAGATGAGAACCTAGAAGGGAGAGAACTAGATGAAGGAATTAAGATAGAACCTAGAGGGGACAGCAGACAAATATAGAAAAATCAGGGAAGGAAGGAGCTAAACATGAGAGCAGAATAGAAGCTGTGTAGAGAGAGAATTATCACAGAATAATAAAGTATATGAACTAAGGAGTTTTGTGTACATAGATTCATTTCTTCTCATCAAAGAGTAATTATCAGCTGGTTGTAGATTCTTCCCGGGCCCTGGGAGGGGACTATCAAGGGGCTGGATTCCTAGAGTCCCTGATAGGCTTTATCTTGCAGAGGTGAATGATGGAGACAGAATGGTTGAGCTGTCTCAACAGACCTGAGCTTGCAAAAGCTGAATCTATAGCAAGACACAACCACACACTCTGCACCTAAATCAAAACCCAAACTTCAGTGGTCATAGATGGCTGCAGCAGGGACATGTCCGTGAGGCACCTGGCCCAGGCTAGATCCAGCAAGCTATTCCTCTTTGCAGAGACAGTTTTCTCTATGTCCTGTCACCTGACTGTTCCACAGAGCCAGTAGCAACTAGATTCTCTGCAGCAAGACTGACATTTGGCCTCTCAGTGCCTCCTCCTCCAAGAGCTAGCCAGGATAACCTGCTGCACCTTCAAAGTGTCCTTTAGCAGAAAGGCTTCTTTGGCAAATTCTGTAATCTGGAGGGGGCAGGGTTTTTAGGAGTGGCCACCCTGAGACAGGATGGAACCAGGGACCTTTTCACTGGAACTCGGTACAGGGTACCAGATTCAGGACAGGAGATGATCCAACTCAGAACTTGTGTTTGAATACCCCAGATGCTGAAAATGTTCCTCATTTAAATGTTTGGGAAGGTAAGAATTCAAACAATTATGTTGTTACCCTTGACAGGATAACAGATCATGTTTTGATGTTCATCAAATCATGGCATACAGATTGGCCTCTTCAGGGGGGAAATATTCAGCTTCTAGGGATTT